TATCGGGCACACGACATGGGCCAGGCCTGCAGCTGGCAGTGCCATCAGAGAGCATCTATCGGGCACATGACATGGGCCAGGCCTGCAGCTGGCAGCGCCATCAGAGAGCAGCTACCCGTCCCGCACCCCTTAAAGCCATGAGGACAGCCTGAGAAAGGGACTCCTGAGGATTTCCCACCTGAAAGTGTACACTTCTGGTTTTCACCAGAAACAAAGACAACATACTGACAGATATTTTAAGTCAAATAACTTCTGTGGAGAACCAAGATGCTCCCCAAATCTGGGCGAGCCACCTGGATTCTCCCAGGACACCCTCCCCACGGCGTGTGGAGTCTCCATAGACAGGCTCCCTCGCTCTTCCCAAAGGGGTGTTTGCAGAGCCATTCCTGCCAGGAGCACTTGCAGCTTCTCTCCCATCTTCCCCATTCTGTATCAGAGGTTGACATCTTCACCTCAGGACACACGGAGGTCAGCTGTCCCCTCTCGTCTCTTGTGCCCAGGCTGGCTCATTCACCCTCTCTTTCACGTACAGATACAGCTACACACAACGCCAGCCTCATGCATGGGATATAAAGTCACCACCGCAAGCCAGGTGATCCATGAGATGGCCAATAAGTTATTAAGCAAAAATTTCCTGGAGACCTTTGTGCAATGCACGAGGGACATAAAAGCCAACAAGACAGGGACCTGATACGTGGGTGTGGGAGAACCTGGGATAGAAAAAGATAGTCCTGGTTGATGCTGATACACACCATCACTCCTGGACCTTGTCCCAGCCTCCACCAGACCAGGCCCCAGCAGCCCATGAAGCCCCAACATGTCCAAGCACACCTGCCACTGTCCACGTCAGGGCCCATCTGAGTTTGCTTGTGGGGGACACCTGGACCTGGACGGGAGACCTACTCACTCTGTTCTGATTCTTCTGGGCCACCTACCTCGCCACACCGTCTCTGGAACTGCGGCCAGACACTGATCCCTCAGTCCCTCCCAAGCCCATTCAAGTCTGACACCAGAAAATGAGGGCTAACAATGTGAGTTGACGATCACTTTTGCCCACCTAGAGCCCAGAGCCTGACCTCACAGCCTGCCTTGAACCTTGCTGGAAGCCAGCTCTGCACCCACTCACCCACAGACGCTGTCTACTTCCCGCAGACCAGGAGGAAAAACAACCCTCATTCTACATTCTCTAAAGATATAATAAGTGTCCGAATTCCAAATACCACCGATGGCCAGAAAAGCAACACGCTCTATCTTTGCTTCAATGACCTTGTTCTCCTTAAGTAAATTGGAATTTGAAGCCACATGGAGGCTGTGGTGCTGAAGGAAGAGCATTAGCGTAAATACTGGCTGGTGGAGCTCACATTTTTCTCGCACTCACAGAACTGAAGAGCTCGTCTTTTCGTTTTTTCTTTTCTTCCCACCCCCCACCCCCCTTCCTGCCGCCTGCATTTTCTAAACATCAGCAAAAAACTAGTTTTGTCATCAGAAACGGCTCTGGCCTGGCTTTTAAATTCGGCTACTGGTACATACCAGGGAATTGATGTGGGATAACTACTTTTGACTTAAAAGCTTCATTTAGTGAAGCTAAACAGTGCAGCCTCCCGAGAGCCTTCAGCCAAGGTCATCTGTTTATCAACAGAGCTGGTAAGAAGGAGGGGCGTCGTTCTCATAACCTGAAGGTGCACCTGAGGCAGGCTGCAGGTGGCTTCAGATTTTGTGTCTCTGTTCTATCACTCACAACGAAAACAGGCGGGAACGCAGGCAGACGGCACCAGCCCAAAGGTTCCATCCACAGGCCGGGTCGGCTGCAGAAATTCACCTCTCATCCATAGTGACAGATTCTCACATGTAATCCTGGATCTACTATCCATGCTGGTGTATGTGGCTATGTGGTCCTGGGGCTTAACCACACCACTGGGGCCCATCCAAGGAGGGGATTTCCCCTTAATCACCAGTTTCCTTTAGTTGCAAATTTCTCAGCCATGGGATCCACTTGCCACTTGGGCTGAGCGAGATGTACACTGCCTGATTTTGAGATGTGACGCCAATGGCACGAGGGTGAGTCACAAAGAATGAAAACAGCTCCGTTTTGCTGCCCAGCGAGGACGTGTGTGAAGGGCCCAGCACGACAGCCAGGCCTGGACGAGACTGCTTTCCGTGTCCCATCTTCCCTTACATTTTGGGTGGGCACTGTGGCGTCCCCCATCCTTGCTGCCTCCACCCCCATGCCCTGGATCCTCCAGTCTGCACCTGCTCCCACTCCCCCCCCCCGCCCCCACTCGCTGCCTGTTTCGAGAACAACTCCACTGAGACCCCGACCTCACGGCGGCCCTGGTGCGGCACCCGGGGTACGTGTGGCCAGATTCTGCTCATCCGTTCTTCTCTCCCTCTGTTTGGAAGCTCACTTGGAGCTGGGACCACCCCTCATTCCAAATGTCAAACAAATAACCACAACAACAGCCTTACTGATTCCCAGATGTCTCCCAGACTGTAACCCCTCCTTCCTCTCTCCAACAGGCTCTTTTCTCACTAATACTAATTTTTTTTTCTTTAAGTACTAAGATCAATGGGCCCAGAAAAGCAAACACCTTCCACCTCACTTCAGTACCCTCTTTGTCATTCAGTACAATGACACCCGACCCACACAGAGGCTCCCTGAGGGAGCACTTCAGCCCAGCATCATGGAGGGTCTCCCCTCACCCAGAGGTTCATGTCCAAACCATGACACCTGCTGAAGGTCTTGCCCAGTAGGTCCATCTGATTTGCCCAGTTCTACCTCCCACTGAAGAAGGCCAGACTCCAATCTGCTTTTCTTTTCAAAATACAGCATTCCCTAATACCTGTTACTCATCCCCAGCCTAAGTCCCTCTGCTCCAGCCTCACCTGGTCTTCCTGTGTCTGAAAACACCTTGCACACCCACCTGCGTGCCCTTGGGCGGGCTGGGCAGTCAAAACTCCATGTGCTTTGTCTAAGTCAGATCAAAAGTCAGCCGCCATGTACTTTTTACCTCCTCTTCTCTGCTACCAGAGGACGGTGCTCCAGACCACCCTGTGGACAGCCCCACTACCCATACATCTTATTGTGGATTACATCACCTCCCTAACAGGACTGCAACACCCCAACAGGCAGAGGGCACAGCATGTAGTTTCTGACCCAATGCTTATGACAGAGCCTGTCCCTCGGAAGTTATCTAATAAATATTTGTTCAATGGATCCATGAATTGTGCCATGAATTAAAAAAAAAATTCATCAAAGTACAGTAGCGATAAAGGATATCTCCTGGTGTCTTCCTTCTAAAGAAAAAGCACTGAGGTGTGTTAATAGACAGGGCAGAGACAGAGTTCCAAGAAGAGTTTGGAGACTGTTCCAAAATTCCAACCCAACTCCAAGCCCTGTGTGAGCTAAGCTGTACAGACGCAGCGGAGAGAAAGCCTCCACCAGTGTCCTTAGGAGTCACCTCTCTCAAAGGCCACAGAAAATGGAAAATAAGACCCTCCACATGGCCGGCAGCCGAGGCTTTGCCTGGACATGGCCATGCCAGAAACTGCAGGAACATACCTGCACCAACAAATTTATCATTACGTCCCAATGTGCAGGTCCCAGGTGCTGGGGAGGGATGGACAGAGACAGGTGCCACCCCCAATCCAGCTGGGTATACCCATTCTCAGAACACTCTATGCTGCACACAAAGTGCCCCACGCCTCTTGGCAAAACCCGACTCCTCCATCCTAAACCCTCATTCCACATGAGATCAATCCCGCCTTCCCCAAGCACTTTAGTGAAAGCTAGTGCAACGTTTTCCCCTAATTCACGAGGCAGGGAGAGCGCTGTCCCCTCTGCCAGACTGTGAGTCTTTCCTGGGCAGAAACATCGTACTTCCATCTTTTCATGTGCAGCTGTTAGTCCCTAGATAGAGAAGGACTTGCTCTCCCATGGCTGGCTCAGTCATTCAATGTCTAGGGTCTCCTGGGCAAACTCTGCCTACAGCTCCAAGATCCTGCTAAAATAAGCTGATCGCAGCTATGCACGTGACTTACCTCTTTAAGAACCAGCACACATTTGCCAGGCCCCACAGACTGAGGCAGCTCTGCAATCCTCCCCTTGTTCAGGTAAGGGCCTGAGAAACACCTGTGGTTGATGAAGAGCTGAGGGCAGCAATACTTCCCGTGGACAGGTCCTGCGGGAGAAGAGGAACAGCCGTGTTCAGGGTCGCGGCTCTAAGTCCAACAGGACCAGCAAGAAACTTGTTCAATCCACTTAGTCAGCAAACCGACCTCGCAGAGCTGTCCGAGGTCCTGACTGACAAGGCCACTCGAGTTTCAAAAGACATGGGGCTGAAGGCGGCCAGCACAGCTTTGAGGGCCAGTGTCACCCTGAGGCCAGCGTTGTTGGGACTCTTATTAAAAGGCCCCACTTTGGGTCCAAACTGTAATGCAGCAGGAGGGAAAACCAGATGATTGTTTTCTTTTGAGGAAGGCCTATCCTGTCCTAATTTTGGGACACTATATCCATAATAGTATCTCAGAAGGTCTGATCAGATTTTCTGCCATACAAACAAATGCTTCTGTTTACTAAGCAGTATTCAGGACCACAAAAAGATTCAGACTAAGATGATGATGACTTAGGGGTCGCAATGCAGCCCACTGACTGCACAGCTGAATTCCTGAGTCCCCGTGTCTCCTCCTATGGGCACTGCCCCATGAGTCCCCTGGAGGTAACCGTGCCCTCAGCCTGGCGTTCATCATTCCCCGACAGGTCTGTAACCTTACTGAACACCTAATTATGTGTGTGCCTACAAGCAATATATGGTCTTCTGGGTGTTTTTAAAATATTCCATAAATGATTTTCTGCAACAATTTGCTTGTCTGCTCAATGAGGAGCTTCTGAGATACATCCAGATTGGCGAATGTGTTATCTAGAAAGTTCATCCCTGCTTCACTTGTGTGAACTGCTTCAGTGAATCAGAGATCACAGTCTAGCCGTCTAGCCCTCTCACCCACAGATACTTGCATCTACTTTTTCAGTATTGCCAATGGTGTTGTAATGAATATGAATGTAAAAATTCTATCAGTAAACGGGCAAGAGATTCTTGCAGGTGTATAACAGGAGCAGGGGGCTGTCTGCCGTGGCTCTGAGTATGTTTGGTTTTACTAGATGAGGCCAATCTGTTCTCCCAATTTAGACGCCTACCCGCACTATTAAAGAGTTCTGTCATTTCACGGCCAAGCCAGAACTAGATCCTGTGAGGCTGCCTTCTCTGTGGTTTAAATTTGCACCACCCTATTATTCTTTCAACTCACAAAAGGAGCAGGGCAAGTTGTTGGTCTTGTATCTCAAATTGCCAGAGGCAAAAAGCAGAATAATTAAATGATCAGATTTCACTCTAAAGTTTAGCAAGGCAACCCAAGGTTTCCCTTCTAGCTGAGACTCACCACCGGGCCCCTGCTCTACCCAAGCTCCAAGCCAAGGGACACTAACAGGGGTGATTCTGCAAACATGCCGTCTTTAATTTGGGAAGGTGCTGTGACAGTCTGGGGATGCTTGTTCTCATACGGACCCCAACTACGAAGCAACAGGTAGGAGGCAGAAACGCCATTCTTCCGGATATAAGAGAAAAGGAATAACATAACTATTATGGACTGTGAACATTTGCTGACGTGGGTCTTTAGGGCCATTCTCAAGTTTGAATTCCATACAACAGGCAAAATAATAAGCACGAAGCTGCATTTACAAAAAAATTTTGGTAGGATTACCCTCTCCAGACCTTTAGAAAAAAAAAAACACCAAACAATTCTAGTTAAGTCTACTCATCAAATTGCTCTTTAGTACAAAGATAATTGCAACGAATGTGATTCTCTCATGATATGCAGGTTCTAATTCTGGAATTCAGAGCAAGTATAATTTGGGCTTAAAAGACAGAATTCTTAATCAGCTATGACAATGAACAAACATGTCTAGGACTGGATTTGGTGGTCAAAGGGTAGCTCACAACTGCAATTTCAAAGGTTATTGTAAAATACAAGAATTTACATATTAAAAAACACACATTGTTCACCATCAACTGTGAAAACACAAAGGGTTTTAAGGAGTAACTCAAAAGCCAGCAAGGATGTAAGCACTAACCACTAGTATAAAAATGCCAGTGGAACTGTGATGACACGTCCAAAGAGGGTCACCTAGCAAGGACACTGTCACACCTTCCCATTCCACGTGGCAGCCCAACACACACAGCCCTGACCTGGCTCAGAACTTCCAGGCAGCACATGGACCCTCTTTCTGCAGACCAGACCCATCTAGAGCTGCCTGCTGGCCAAGAAGCAGAGAAGAAACAGAAAATTTATCTCAGAAATTAAAAAAGAGATAGGTTATCTGTTAATATAAGCAATATAGAAAAAAAATAAGCTCAAAGTTGAGATACAGCTGGGTACAATCGTTCACACCTGTAATCCCAGCACATGGGAGACTGAGGCTGAGCAAGAGTGAGACTCTGTCTCTACTAAAATAGAAAAATCAGGCAGCATTGTTGTGGGAGCCTTTAGTCCCAGCTACTGGGGAGGCTGAAGCAAGAGGATCCCTTGAGCCCAGGAGTTTGAGGTTGCTGTGAGCTAAGACACCACGGCACTCTACCCAGGATACAGTGAGACTCTGTCTCAAAAAACGAAGTTGAGATTTATTCACACTGACCTAAAAGTGTACACACGATGTCTCTGCTCACAGCTACAAGTTGGGAAGGGAGAGAGCCCGAAACTGGACCATTTACCTGTAGTGTCCAGGTGAGGGAATAAACAAAGTTCATGAGGTATTTTTTTAACAGGCACTGTGGATGGCAATCTGTCAACAAAGAGGAGGAAACCATTATGGATTATAAACTTCAGAAGGAACTACTACATTCCAAAGTCTTGTCATCAAGGACAGCGACTATTCCAGAAATCTAAGGTGAGAGCATCCTGATAAGGATCCTCTCCATCCTGTACAGGAGTAAAAAGGTCACTTCAGAAGAGCTGCCCTCGGATTCTTCTGTAGCATTCTTCTGTCCTCTATCTACTTCTGCTGAAGCGACTGACCCTACTGAGCCTGGGAGCACCTGCCCCACAGGGGTCTCCCAGGATCAGGGAGTCTCTTTGTAGGCAGCTGTCAGCTTTGTCTCTTCTCATAGATTTGTAATCACGTCCTCAATTATATTTTAGACATGAAGACCCATTAACTTACATTTAATTAAAGTTGGACTTTTTCACTCCCACCTCTATCTGAAAGCCACGTTCCGCTCACCTTTGGTTCCTGACCTCCGTGCCTGTGTGGAACGCAGCCACACTAAACCCAAGACCTCAGAATAAAATCCATAAAGGGGTGATGCTTAAAATACAGAGTGGGCTTATTCCAGGACAGAGCTCAGTAAGAAAGTTGCTGAATAAATATATACATTAAGTGCAGCCTCAGGGGGAAAGAAGTGAGTTGGTTTCTCAGGGGTGTCCAGTTGGTGGCCCAGAAACCAGATGGGAAATGCTACATGAACACACAGGCGGCCCTGGCCCGGGACCTTGGTGGCTCAGCTCTGGCAGATGGCTCTCAAAGTGTGGTCCCCAGACCCACAGCATCTGCATCTCCTGAGAACTTGCTAGAAGTGAGGAATCTCAGGCCCCACCCTGGACATCCTGAACTGGGAATTCAGGGATGGGGCCCCGCAGTCTGCGTTTTTAAAAGCTCTCTAGGTGAAGGGTGAGAACTGTTAGTCCCCCCACCACAGAGGTAGGTCCCGGGTCTGTTGTTGCCTGTGTTTACACCGCACGTGCCCACAGAACTATTATTTTCATTCAAATACAACATGGTCACCGCTGAACTTCATTTGATTTAAACCTGAGTACTGAATGTGAAAAGTGACGTTTTCAGTTCTCTTTCAGAATCTCTTGGCATGGAACATACATTTTAGTGTATTTTAAATAGTTTTCAATATACACAAACGTTGCCAGCAGTTACAACTTTTCAAAAACATAGCGCCTGCCTGTACACACTCAGCCCCGACAGTTTTTCCTCATAAAATTACAACTAAGACAGGGGTGGGGAGTGGGAGTGTTACCTATATTTGTTCAGTGATTTAAGACTCACACGTTTTTGTTCACATGAACCTAATTTAACTTTCATAAAAATCCTGAAATAGGCATTTTACCACCGAGGGCACCAAGATGCAGGGAATTCCAGGGACATGCTCAAGTTCACCCAGCGGGGAAGTGGCAGAGCTGAAGTCAGACTCAAGCTTTCCACCTCCCAGGCCCGGCCAAGACCAGAGAGGCCAAGAGGCAGCATTCCCAGCAGGGAAAAGAGGTGGTCGCAGATCTAACCTGCCAGGCAGGGGCTGGGGCGCTAAGAATCTCCCGCACGTGGAGCCGCTACTAGCAGCGTGTGCAAGTCTGGGGTGTTTATCAAGTACGCTGAGGTTGAAATGAAAAGGGATCAATGACAATCTGGACTGTGAATTCCTTGGAGGCAAGCTCCGTGTCTTGAGCATAACAGGCACTCGGCGAGTAAAAGCAGCCCCGTTTGACTGTCACTTTTACCAGTGAGCTATCCGTTAGTGAACTCTTAACAAAACAGCCACGCTTCCCTCCATCCTTTATACAGACACTGGTTTGCCATGCAGTGTAGGGGGAAAAAGGCAAAAAAGAAACACTCACTGTTTTTCCGGTTGTACAACTGCGATCTTTCTCTTCTTCTGTACTGTAAAACAGACAAAACAATAAAAAGGAAGAAAATCAGCTTTGTTAGAGGGGCGAGTGCATTTTAGAAAATGGGTTACAGTGTAAAAATGTGCCTGTTTTAAAGTAACAATTAAAATACTGAAAATGTATCAATTTCTTGTAGAATAAGTCAAATGTTGGCTCCCCAGAAGTGAGACGGTACTAGATAGAACCCATGACCTTGACCCTTCTCACGACACTGGCTATTTTATTTTAAAATGTGCATTTAATAAGGAAGAGTAAGTGTACACCTGTTACACATCATGTAAACACACATGTTCAGTGTCCAATTATCCAGAATGACTGTTTCCCGTAGAAATTGTGGCAAGAAAGACCATGTTATGATATCACCAGAGGCACATGAGACGTGAACATTTTTTAACCTAAGGACAGTGAGTGGGGAGCAAATATGCCTCCTCAAACCCTGACATAAACCAGCAAATTGTGATTTTTTATATTTATAAAATATAAATATTTTATAACTGATTATGGTCACCTTAAAAAAATAGACCAGAGCCTCTGCTAATCTGGCATCCTCAGATAACCCTGCATCTTCCAACAGAAGCGTAAATTAACTCTGACAAAACTTCTCAAAGCTGTTGGAGTCTGGCAGGTTTAGGGTCAGAGTCTGCCTCCTTAAAGCTAAAAGGCAAGCAAAAGTAAATAAGAAAAATTCTGAGCAAAATTCCAGTCACTCTTTATTTGGTATTCAGTTCCAGGCATTACTATAAAAAGGTATGAACTTTATGATCTTCAAGGTGAAAAACAAGCCCGGAATTAACTGTCTAACTGGGTCCTTGTTAATGGGGTGGGGCCACTTGACTGTCCAATACTCTGGGCATGGTGCCAGGATGCAAATGTCAAATAAAGCAGCAACACTACTATGTCCACAGATATGGTTTTGCTGCAGAAAAACTCAAAGCACTTGCACCCTTCCAAATCCGTAGGAAGGGAACCCAGGATGCTAAGGGACAGTGTGTGCGGATGAAAAAGGTGAAGCCCCAGGCCCAAGGCAGGACCCCGGAGACCCAGCTACTGGCCAGCTGGCAGAATGGGGCAAGGACCAGTTTACATTAGGAGAAAAAAAGAATGTCTCTGAGATCAAAATAATTATTCTATGTTCAAAACTTAAGAAATAGTTTAAAGCGAGGACAAGATATTACTGTGCTTGGATCACACGTAATCAACAGGAGGGGACAGGGAAAGAAGCATCCCGAAAAACCCACCCTGGCCTCTGTCTCTGATCTGATCCACCTGCTTTGCTTCACATAGAGACTGTCCTGTTCTCTTCTTGATGAATACGGAGCAAGGAAATTGCTGGAAACCCTGGAAATTCCATTAAACAAAAAGTCTGTTGGGTGGTGCCTGTGGCTCAAAAGAGTAGGGCACCGGCCCCATATGCCAGAGGTTCAAACCCAGCCCCGGCCAAAAAAAAAAAAATTCTGTTAACAAAGATTCTTGCATCTTTGTTTAAAGAAATGTTCTGAGGATCTACAGGAGTGTGGCACGGACGGGATGCTAGAAAAGAAGTCAGCTGGTATGGAAACTCCAAAAGAAAATAATGGAAATATGATCGCTCTAACTAAAGGTTAAAACTGATTACCTTTAAGGACTTGTAATGTTAAATAACAATTTGGATACACATTACAATGCATGCAGTAGGTTTGAAGACCTATCCAATACACCATTCCATGATAATGACCTACAATAACACCTGTAAAAACACCCTGGTGTATCTATTTAAACGTGTGTGTGTGTGTGTGTACGTACGCATGTTGTGAATTGTTTAATGTGACATTTCTGTGACCAAAAGGATATAGGCAATATACTTTTTGAAAGTACAGTTGAAACCTCACTGATTAGTTAGTGCCAAGAGTAGGTTCAATGCTTATAAATATGTCAGTCAGTAAATCACTGGGGACCAATTATGATTCCTTTAGGAGAAACTTCATGAGAAAAATCAGTTCTCTCTAAGAACTAATAATACAAAAGAATAGTATCTAACAAAATTCTTCCCATCAAAACAACGGATTGTGTACTGAACTGGGAGCCAAGATTTCAGGGATTGTTTTTTCCACTGTGACCTTCCCTTGCGATGTAGTTTATCAGCCTGTGAAATGTGTCTTAAAAGTTTGTCTCATGCAGACACGCTTAGAGGACAGCAAGGGTAAAATTAGTGCTCAGTGGAAAGTCTTAAACCATTTCTGCTTTTTACAACCTGCTGTAATTCCTTTTACAAAACTGCGTATTTATTCACTAAGTCATGGGCGTTCTCCACCATCCCCTCTGCCCCGGCCCCACCGTCCCCTCTGCCCCAGGCCCACCATCCCCTCTGCCCCGGCCCCACTTACAGACTGTCTTGTGTGGTGTCGTCAGTGGGTAAGAATTTGCTTCACACCAGCCCACTGGGAAGATGTCCATGGACTCAACGTCAACAATGACCTCTGGCACAGGAGTCTGCAGCCCTGCAGGGGAAGCAGTGAAGATGGGAGATGCAAACAGATTTTACCAACAAAGAAACAAAACAGGAAAAAAATAGAGCATCCCTAAGATTGAGAAGAACATTCCTCAGAATAGTAAAAAAAAAAAAAAAAGTAGCAGTAAGAGACAATTTAAGAGTCTTTCCTGTGAGAACAGGAACAAATGCTCATAACCCAGTGAGCACACAAGGGGTTCAAATGAAAGTGAGGGTTTGGAAAACCACATCCCCCAAATATAAAGGAGAAAAGAGGAATCTGGAAGGACTGGTATTCAGGCCGGAGAGGCTACAGAGGGACAAGCATCCCCTTTTCCTAAGAACTGGTCTGAGATTAAGGAAATGAGGCAAAGCTCGGAATGGGACCACGGGGCCCACATCTAAGCCACCACAATGTGCTTCACCCAACACAGAGCCACAGCGAACCTGCCCCAACACCAGTCACACAGCCCCTGCCCAGAGCCAGGGAGACTCAGTGGCAATGACCGTGACAGTATAGAGACAAGGCCAGGGAACGTGCAGCTTGTCAGTTTGGCTGGAGTCCCTTCTGGACTCAAGTTTGTGGATGCAGACACTGGCCGTGGCACAGATGAGTTGCCTGTGCACCGATGTCTTTCTAGTGGGATCAGCTGCCTGTCACGTCCACTTTTCTAAATTACAGTAACGCCTCGTGCCGAACCAGCCTCTCCGCAGCTGAGGAACTCTGAGAAAGACGAGAGCTGGATGGAATGGCAGCAAAAGCTTTCAAGGGGCTCTGGGCACAGAGAGATTGAACTTGGAACCCAGTAAACTAGATGAAAGAAGAAAATCCTACTCCAAATCAACAGTTCTTAAGGTAAAACCCTATAGGGAAGACACGTGTGAACCAAGAATCAAAAGACGGCATCTCTACGACTAGACAGTGACACAGGGACCCTGACCCTGAATCCAGTTTGGTTCTGGTTCCCTGGCTGAGGAGCCAGAGGAAGGTAACACAGCGAACCCGTCACACTCCACGGCATCACAAAACATCCGGAGACCTGAGTGACACTCTCCCCTCCCCCACCAAATCCATAACTTTGTGAAGCCGCATACCAACAACCAACACAAAATGGTCTCAACTCTGATGCAAGCTCCACTGGCTCCGAGTTCCCACCATAAATAGATAATGCAGAAACTGACTTTCTGATGTGATGATCAGAGGCTCCTACAAGGCCACCACGCTCAGAACTCCACACTTACAACAGCAGGTGTTTGTACACGCATTAGAATCACTACTCATCACTTTGAACTTTTCACTGGTTCCCAAAGAAATAAATCATCAGGACAGGCAATCTTAACTCTCTTTATGCTTCTCCTATAATTTGAAGGATAAATTACATTAGAGAAAGGCAAGGAGGCTTATTTTCCACAACACTGAACGAACAGAAATTGTTTCTGCCTAATGTTATGTGACTCAACCAGTATTTAACCTAATTGCTAAAAGAATCTACAGACGAACAAGAAAAATTACACTCGAAACAAACAAAAAATACAGATACTCAGCCAGTATCCTGAAAATTGAGCTCCCTGCCCGGAAGGGCACAAAATTCTCCAAAGGGTCCAAGGAAGATGGTCACTGGGGTGTTTCCCATCACACGAAGTTGCTGTTTCATCTTCAGACCCACAAAAATAGGATCCGTTTCTTAGCTACTCAGACATTTTGCTAACAGGTTAAAATAATCTACCCAATTGTATTTCCAGGTTTATGTTTAGCTATAAATAAGACTTTCAAGGTCATTACAACCAGTACTTCAAAAGGAAGTGGTAAGTGAACTTTATAGCTTATTCCTTCCTAAATTATGACTTTCATCTTCCAATGCTCTGCTAGTTCAAACATCCAGGCATATTAAGGCTTTAATATCTACACTTCTGCACGATGTCCACAGTAATATACTGTGAGGGCTGTCTTTACCATACTTTAGAATTCTTTGATCCTGTTTCCCATTCAATTAAATAAGTATTTACGAGCTCAGATGTGTCAGCCACCTTTCCCTCAAGAAAGTTACAGTCCTGCCTTCTCTCATCCCAACTCTAGCCTGCTTAGGCAACAACTAGACAAGAACTGATGGAAAGATGAGCTATGTATCATCCAGGAAAGACCCCACAATGGTTCAAACCCTTTCTGAAACATGGGTACCAATTCTTTATTTCTCTTCATCAACCTTATGAAAACTAGACACATCTGGCTGGACTCAGAGAATAACAAAGACAAACTGGTTGGTTTCCAAATCCAACAGCTTACAAAATAATGCACTGAAAGAGGGTGCACAGTTCCCCTTGATTATTCTAGGGTTGCCAAAAGTACACTCCAAAGGTAAATGCACCACTGAAAACCCCTCCAATACCCTTAACACATCCCTCACAAACAACACAACACGATGCTAAAAGCTACGTGCACTCAGTATCAACTCCATTCATTGATTTTTTTTTTTAATCTAGAACTTGCATCTCAAAATCCATAGGAAGTCTAAATCTGCATCTGTGGGAAAGTGCTTGAGTACATTTGGGCATATCCATCTGATGGAATATTCTGCAACTATAATAAAGAAATGAGACATCTCTTCATATACTTATATGTAAAGATCTCCAAGATGCATTGTTGAGTAAAAGCAGCAGGGCAGAGAACACTGTAACACGCTGCCATCTGCTGAGAAAGGGGAAGGAACGTATATTCAACTGTGCATAAAATAAATCTGGAGGGAATGCAAAGTATGACACAGCGAGTGTCTTCTGGGAAAGGCACGGCGTGGTCGGGGCCGGGGAGCAGGGGAGGCAGGAGAGTACAACCAAGGCTGGTTTTTTGACATTTGTGAATGAGTTACTAATTTTACAACCACAACCTCCACGATCACAATAATTATAACAACGCAATGTGTCCAGAGAAGAAAGGAAGGCTCTCGTACATAAATATGGCATTGCCATAGAGCTCTGACTGATGAGGGGCCAGTTACCATCAAAGAAAACAAAACCGAACGGCAATGATTCATTTCACTGCGGAGAGAACAAAGACGTTCCACGCTCACAAACACAATTTACAAGCCTATAAATTGGTGAGAATCGCTTTGGAGCCTCAGCCCAGCAGATCACGCAGCTCCACCTGCCCGCAATGGTGGAGTCTGTTATCACGGCTCTCTCCAGCCAGTGACATGGCCACTGCAACCATGTGATCACCTGGTCTACCCAGAACATCAGAATGGAAAAAGGAGATGGCTGATGGCTTCAAGCGAATTCCTACGGACACAAGCCTGTCAGCTCCCAAAGTCACGTGATTTCCTCACTCCCAGTTAATGAGAGGAGAGAGCTGGCAGGGGAGGCAGAGATGCCTGGGGGTGGGGGGATGCCAGGGGCAAGCGGGGCACAGGTGGGAAGTGGTGCAAACAATTTCCACTCACTGCAGAATAGAACTGAATAGAACATCCCTCTTCATCTCAGTTAGATGCTGGGACAGGAAGAAAGGGAGAGGACTTTAGGGAACAAGTTAATATTGACACTGAAAATTAAAGGGCACAGCAAATGCTAATAGGCTCAGCTGTGAAGGGAACAGGTCCACAAACCAGTGGTGGAACAGAAAGGCCATTGGAGGGTCCCTGAGAAGCGGCTGGGCAGTCTGCCTGCCAGCTGTGTGCTGCTTCCTCTGCAGATGCCGATTCACTCACCCACAGCCAACACGGCCCCTGCCACGGGCCAGACCCTTCGCGCCTGCTTAATCCTTGCAACCCTAAGAGGGACTATTTCCACCCCCTTTTTAGAGATAAGTAAACTGAGGCACAGGAAAGCTCAACCAGCTGGTAAGTGGCAATGCAGGTTACTAGAACGTGAGCAATCTGACCCCAGAGCCTTAGCATGCACTTGAGGTGGCCAGTTTTCTTTTTCTTTTTTTTGGGGGGGGGAGGGGGCGCGCACAGGTCTAGCGTCTCTAGCGTTTGTCCCCTTCCTATGAGGGCCCTGAGCCCATTCACAGAATTCCCACCATGATGTCTCCATTACCTCCCAGCACAGGGAGAGGACGGCAGGCTCAGGGGCTTCCCCTGTGAGTCCAGAGAATGGATTGCTCGTGTTCCAGTAACCTGACAGAGAATGTGTCACCTGGACTGTGCACCTTCACGATGGCAGCTGCAAATCCCAAACTTTGCTTTAGTTCCTGCTGTAAAACCTTCTGGAGAGGTGATGCCACTGTCCCCCAGCCTCCAGCCTTCTGAAGTAATTCCCTACCTAACTGAAGGTGGCCAGAGGCAGTTCTCTTGCTGGTGACCCAGAGCCCAACAAAGCACCAACTTTTGGACCAAAATGAACTCGGCAGCACTGAAGGCCTCCTCCCAGAGGCAGCCTCGGCTCTCGGCCACTTTTGTAAGTTGTTTGGGAAACGCTGCCCCTTTATCCTGATGTGCTGAGGCTGCTTCTCCAACACCTTTCAGACAGACCATATTTCTTCCAGTTGAGGATTATAAAACCACCTGTTAGCGGTCTGAAATGTAATTATTTTCACATCTGCACTTTCCCTTGTTTCAATTTTGTGAGTATCTGCAAAATATATCCAGCTGACTTTTCCAGAAATTGTGGATAAATTTAAGGGGCCGTTTTCTCCACCTGGTCACAATGGTTGCAGAGAAATTTTCATAAAAAGAAAACATCATGAGTAAAAACTAAGAACCAACCAACCAAACAACAGAAGTGAACACACACTCAGCCTCTGGACAAGAGAAAATGCCCAGTATCACTCGCTACCACGCCCAAGAGCACAGGCCAGCAGGGCAGGTGCAGAGAGGGCTCTGACCCCACAATCTTGGCTGGGTCAGGGCATTCCCCTGCTGGCCGCTGTCCAGTTTCTAACCCTGGAGAGGGGTACAGGTGAAGTGCGTGGAGAAGTGGACGTGCGTCCATGGACTATCTTACCACAGCCCAGATGCGGGGACCAAATCAGGTGGCCGAGAAAGCACCGTGGACCATTCCCAAGTGCACGCTTTTCTC